TTGTTGTTTTTATTATTTTTGATAAATTTAGATTTAGAAGCAGGTCAGTACAATTATCTTATCCTTAATTTATTTATCAGATTATTCCAGTATATCAGGATACCTCATCATAGTCTATTGCCTTTCATACTCTGTACATTATTTTGTACTGACGCCCCATTGCCTTGGGGGCGCTGCATTCATGCATGCAGGTCCTGACAGATGACCGAGTAGACCTCCATATCAACAGGATTGATTTTTATCCGATTGGTCAGCCCCTTTCCTCCGGAGTTACCAGAGTTGGGAGGTTTGTTACCTTTTGTTGTATATATTCTCATGGGTATATCATGGTGGCCTCGACGGCCCAATCAGGACTTCTGTGCTAATTGGATGTTTCTTTATATGAACTCTTGGGAGTAGCTAGTTCTTTTGTAGATCTGTTGACAGGGGCCTTGCCGGCCGAGGGCTTAGTTTTAAGCCGAGATATACTTGTTTGTTTTCTTAATTGCATGTGACTGCCATGCGCTAGTACCAAATGGTTCAGCAGGGTCGGCTCGGGCCTGAGTTTTGGCTTTAGGAGGCAGTTGTCCCCCTTGAGTTTGGGGCGTGACAATATTTGTTCGTAACGGTAACCTTGTTCAATTGTCAGTAGTCAATACCTATACGAAGTGAACCATCTTTCTTTCGAACAAACAAAACTGTAGTACCCCATGTAGAGATACTCGGTCAGATGAAACACTTATCCAACAAGTCTTTCAATTGTCCCTTTGATTCCTTAAATTCCGTCACAGCCATACGATAATGAGGAATAAAGATAGGTTGCGTATCTGGGAGAAGGTCAATACCGAAATCTCTTTCCCTTTCAGAAGGAATACCGGACAAATAATCTGGAAATACTTCCGAAAAATCATTAACAACGGGGACCGACTAAAGAGTAGGGGTTTCAGAATCTATATACCTCACCCTAGCTAGATGATATATGCAACCCTTAGAAATCCTCTTCCTAGCTTTAAGACAAGAGACAAGCTGGCTCTTAGGTATCGAATCCCCCTTCCCCTCTTTCCACTCTAGGATGGGTTCATTTGGAAACTGAAACTTGACTACACAGGTCTACAATCAATAGAAGCATAACATGAATGCAACCAATTCATACCAAGGATAACATTAAAATCTAGCATATCGAGCTCTACAATGTCAACATGAGTGACACTATGGGACAAGGATAAATATACTTTCTATAGACCCTCTTAGCCACAATAGAATCACCAACAGGAGTAGAGACGAAAAAGGGATCTAACAACACATTTGGAAGAATATCAAACCTCATAGCCATATATGGCGTCACAAAAGACAAGGTATCACTGGGGTAAATTAAAGCATAAACATCAAGTTGGAAAACTTTCAACATACCGGTAACCACATCGAGGGAACCCTTTTTCTCTTAACGATTCTGAAGTGCATAAAATATGTTTTGCTTTTGACTCCCACTACGATCGGATAAAGGATTAGTTTGAGCCCGTCAACGATCATCTCTCACATTCTTAGCAACTGAGGGACAATCATTCATCTTGTGGTCCATCTTACCACAATCAAAGAAAGCATTGGAGACCGTGAGACATCTACGCGATGCTTCTTTCCACACTTAGCACACATAGGCAATGAAGATCCACTACAATTTCCTCCTGAGGATTAGGGTTAGATGCCCTATCTTTGTTGAACTTAGGAGGAACATTGGATGAACCTTGGCCGGAAACCCTTTGTCGAAACTTAGAATGATCATGTCTACCGGACCTTGAGTGCGAGAAGTTACCATCACCAGTCTTAGCCCTCTTTGCCTCCTTAGACCCTTAAAACAATTAGGTTCAAACCCTACAACCCCAGACTTAAAACTGCCGAATTGGGTCACTAGAAGCCCAAAATGGGCAGTCATCAACACCACGGCCCATCAAACGGGTTGTAAAGAAATCCTGCCTGACGAGGCTTTATTATTGTGGGCATAACTTTTTATTTCGAGCTTGGAATTAGGCAAACTCGGTGGCATTGGAAAGAGGACTTAGAGATCTTTGATTTGATAGGTTATGGGCCACATACTTGTTTTTGTGCTAAAAGATATGATCATTGGAAGTTGACCCTAAACTCTTGAGTCTGATTAAAACCCTTCATGGACAACTTCACGGTCCATGTGAAGCTTCACATGCCATTTTGACGCCTGTGGTCCTTAACCAGTGGCTAGGGGAGAACCCTTTCTGATTAGCCCACTTGTTGACCACTTTGACGACCCGTCAACCTCACCACGGGTCGTCTAAGCATCCGTCAAAGTGAAACCTGCATGGGGCAGGTTCTGGAAACCTACCACGAGGCCCTTAACGGACCGTGGTCTCCTTCACGACCCGTTTGGGGCTCCGTAGAGGGTTCCATAATCCACTTTTTGGGCTTGTGAGTTTTCCACTTGACCCATTTCTGGCCTTTCTCGAATCTAAGGTGTTACAATTGCATTCATGTTGGGCTGTTTAATCTAGTTCCTACACTTATTATGATTTTTTGAGTTCCATTCGAGAGTGAATATTCCCAAGAAGGAGATATTGTAACACCTCAGATTGAAAAGAAGGAAAATTGCAAGTTTCTAGAATTGGTGTATGTACCAATGGACCCACCGACTGACTGTAGGTTCACTTACGGGCCATAAGTGGAACTGTATGTGGCAAGTCAAATGATTTTCAATGTCAAGTTCCAATACCTTTTTTATGGTTCACCGGGACGGTCCGTCGTTCAATGGGCGAGTCATAGGTAGGTCTCGGAGGTGAGTCTCAGACTTAGTGAAATTATAAGGGCCAAAGTTGGACTTACGGTGACCATGTACGGACTGCAAGTTGACCAACAGACCGTACATGGGTTCCCGGTTCCATCATTCGAGGGTCCAGAAACAAGTTCCTGAACCCATAGACGGTTGACTAGGACTGTCCGTAAATAGACTTACGGACAGTAGGTTCCACTGTCGATGGTGGTCGGCAGTTCTTTTTAAAGGGGTTATTGGGTCTTTTCCTGATTGTTCTAACCCAATACTATGTCGTTTTATTGTCTATTCTAGACATTATATAAACGTTTTTACCCCCAAATTACCCAATTGAACTCCTCCTATATTCTCAAAGTTGATCAAAGTTCTCCTCCAATATTTCTCTCTAAAGCTTGAAGAAGAAGTCTAGGGTTTCAAGATCAAGTTTCCAAATTCACCATTAATTGTGAGCTTTTGGCATCAAGGTATGATAGTATTCACCTATGGAGTCATTTCCTCCATAGGGCTCCTAAATTCTCCAATTTTACAAGTTAGAATCTCCAATTGAAATTAGATTTATTCAATCTCATGGGTTCTTTTCAATTATGATCCAATTGATTGTTTTATGTCTTTTTATGCATGAATTGAGATAATTACATGTTTGTAAGCTGAATTCACTTGAACCCATGCATGATCCATGATTTCTAGATTTTGATCATATGATGAAGCTTTTGAACTACGAAAGATGAATTACAAAGATATGCATGTTTCTTTATGAAATTGATGAAAATGATTTAAGGTTGCTTTAAGGGTAAGGCATCGATGTTGTTGTTTTTATTGTGAAAGGATTTCTCACATACTACTCATAATATGATTGTGAAAGGATTTTCTCACATAAAGGATTCATAAGGTTGAAAGGTTTTCTCACCTAAGATGAATCGAGATTAAGGAGTTATTCTAATGAAATCTAGCTTGGATTGGCTACTTGATGTGCCCTTCTGTGGATAATAAGATAAGTAAAGAACATTTACTATTCTGTGGGATTTATGCTTAGCACTGAGAGGATATTGAGATGGAAGCTCTCCCGTAGTTGAGGTCGGGTTTCTAGTAGCAATCTCCATATCTCATAACTATGTGCCACCATAGGCTGTCTTAGATAGACATCAACTAGTGGATCCACCTAAGCTAGAAGTTTATGGTTCTTACCTTGGCAAGTAAGGGCATCTCTTTTCGATGTGGGATAGACACCGAATTCCATGTTATAGCTCACATGGTCTATGTCGGTTAAAGGTAAATCTCCCACGTAAAAGTATCTCAAAGGTATGTTTAAGATGTTTAGCTTGCATTAATCATGGTTATGACTTATGTTTCTAACATGTTATTTTATGATTTAGCTTGGTCATTGCATGTCATATAAATTCCTTTTTATCATGATTTCATGACTCAACTATTCTCACTTGGTGATTGATAAAGTGTTTAATTGTCAAAAAAAAAAAACTTGAAGGTGGACGAACTATATTCAACTTGGCAGAGAGAAATTCAAATGTGGCTGAAGCAAGAGGCTTGGTGAGGACATTGGCAAGTTGATTTTTGGTGGATAGAAATTGGACAGAGATCCTTGCGAGCAACTTTGTTGTGGACGAAGTGATAATAAGTTGTAAGTGCTTGGTGCGAGCAGGAAAGACGAGTTGTTTAGGTGCAAATATCGGTCCATAGAATAGCCAATGTATTATTACATTTAATACAACACATGGAGCTGAAGCTTATTAGATGAAATAGAGAAAAAATTACGGCGTGCTACTGCCTTTTCTTGGGCCAAAAATCGCTAAAATACAATCAGTTTAAGAAACTATTCATATACATGCTTCTATCATAAAGTTAAATAGGAAAATTTTCTTTACGCACAAAGTCTAACAAAGGAAAATTTCCCATACGTGCATCATGGAAGTATTCATATCATGATAATAGGGCTCTTTTTTTTTAGTATTACCAATCGAATATTAAGCTTTTTAACGTTTAGGTTTTATTCCCTCACCAAAATTAAATTGGAAATTGTTTTTTCACGGTAGACAAAAAACCTGTGTAGCTATAAATACACTTTTAACGACCGGATTCCTATCCCTTCATTAAGAGTCTGGACTTAAAAAGTCTAATTTCCTAGCTCTTGACATAAAGGAAGTTAGCACCTGTCATATGCAGAGATGATATATTAATTAAGCTGTTGCTTAGGCAAGTACTATACACCACAAAAAAGGTCCAGAGGTTAATCTACCAAAACTATGCAACTGACCCCCAAAAGATAACCCTAACTATGCATCATCTTCAGGTAAATACATTGCACCCTCAGGCCGAGCCATTTGCATGCAGGAATTCCCAGTATTTAGTTAGCATATGATCATTTGGATGAACTTGATCCCACTTGCCCGTACAAAATATTGCATATGCATCAGCTGCATACCTGGAAAGAAAAACACTTGATCAAATCGAGCTAAAATCCATTTACTTGGGTGCAAAAGGTAGAATTCCCTTACTTGCCAATACCATGCAGCTGTGTAACATGAGTCCAAGTTTCTCCAAGATATTCTTGAGAGAGTCGTGGAATAGCCAGTGACCTCTTCGTATATAATCCTAAAGGTCGTAATAACTTTTCAATATCCTCTACAGCAACCTCTGTAGCAGCCACAGCATTTGGACACAGAGTGAAAAACTCGTCTACCACTCTCTTAACCTAAATGCATGTGCTCACTGTTAGTATGTGACCTCAAAATCAGAATAAAGTCATTACAAAAATTTAAGACAGACATAACTATGTCGCTCTCATTGCTTCACTTCTGATAAACAAGAAGCCCGAACCACAGGAAAAGGGGAAATGCCCCATACAAAATTGGCTGCTCCTTACATAAATAGGTCCACCAGTACTTTTAAGCTAATGCAAAGCAATCAATTAGCTGATACTTCAGCACAATAATTTATCAGTTAGCAACTGCCTGTATATACCCTTATTTGACAATGAGAAATCTTCCCATATCACTTGTTAGGTCTAAAATTTGTTTCCTAATTGCTCATAGGATGTTGCAGCTTAAAATGTAGGAAACTTAAACTTGTCAAATAAGCCAAACATCTCAAGAATTATAAGTTTGTTAACTACTTAAGAAAGAGAACAGTGGCAACAAGTACCTGCACGCCGGTGGTGCAATTCAGAAGCATGCAAATAACCAACACCCTCCAAGGATCATGAGCATGGTTTTCTTGGAGGAGATTAAAATGGGATCGCGGAGGTACCCACGTGTTATCTTCACTCCTCCTTAAATAAGCCTCATCTCTTTTCTGGAAAGCAGAGAGACAAGGTTTCTGCCTTTTTGAACCTTTTCTACTCTTCTTGTTTTCACGATATGCATTCTGAAAGTAGGGAGAAACCTTTCTTCCATTGAGACAGTTCTTCGAAGGGTTTGATCTATCCTTACCTACCTTTATTTCTTCTCCCACTGTTAAGTTAGCAAAGTAAGGGGAAACCACTCGAACTTTGGTTCGTAATTTTTGTCACTTTTTCCATTTCCTTTCGTCACACATTCTACAGACCTTCCTTTTTTCTATTTCAGTTTCTCCATTCCTCGAGTTCCCAAAGTAAGGGGAAACCACTCGAACTTTGGTTCGTAATTTTTTGTCACTTTTTCCATTTCCTTTCGTCACACATTCTACAGACCTTCCTTTTTTCATTTCAGTTTCTCCATTCCTTGAGTTCCCAAAGTAAGGGGAAACCACTCGAACTTTGGTTCGTAATTTTTTGTCACTTTTTCCATTTCCTTTCATCACACATTCTACAGACCTTTCTTTTTTCATTTCAGTTTCTCCATTCCTTGAGTTCACAAAGTAAGGGGAAACCACTCGTGCTTTCTGTTCAATCATCTTCTCATTGATCTGATTCTGAGATAAGCAAGGCTCGAACACAGTTTTACCAGCTTTCGGTCCACAACCTCCTTCCCAATGTGATAAATGACTCTCATTTCCAATCATAGAACCAGATTCTGAAGACTTTTGCATTGTGCTGAGCCTTCGAGAGAGAGGGCCACAAACATGTGACTTGATGACTATCTTCTCATCTTCATTTCTCCTTTTACCTGAACTAAAGTTTCCACCTTTGCATGCAAACTGTGAAAAGAGATCATCGAGACTATTGGCCACTGCATTATCACCACGAACAACTGAAATTGAAGCAACACTAGAACATCCCTCATCTAAATCACCAGATTGTTTATTCTCCTTCTCATTAATAACTTCCAAATTTTTGACAGGAGGACCAATCAGGACTGGTTTGGCATCCATTTCTCTGTTATCATTTCCCGATTTCTCATCATCACCACGTTCAGAATTCTTCTTTCTCTTCCTTTTGTTACTCCTCTGATGTGTTTCAACAGTAACCATGCACTCACTCTTGATAGGCTTCATATACAAATCAGAAATAGCTACAACGGATTTACTACTTCCAATATCCTCATAGTCAGGCACTTTCTTAAAATACGGGGAAGATTTTACAATTTTTCCTTCCTCTTCACAATATTTCTCCCTCTGCTTCTTCCTTTTCTTCTTTCCTTCATTATCCTGCCTCCCATCCATACTTACATCCTGCATATCATGACCAACTTTTGTTACAAGCATTATCACAACTCTGAATCAGCATTGGCATTGACCTTGATGAATGTGCCATAAAGAGAATGAACTGCTAACAGAATGCCTTTTTGCAATGGAAGAGGAATAAATATGTTGAGAAAAGCTTGGCAAAGTTAAATAGTGAATTACAAGTCTCTAGAAGTATCTGCACACAGATTTCCAACAAGCTTTAGAGTTTGGAAGCACAAGTGCATGGAAAGACAGCTAAATCTGAATGAAAAGACAACTTGAATGTGCTATCAATTTCTTTGATCCTTGAGAAATACGGATCTAAAAATGAGCTTGATTTTATTCCAAAGGCAATAGAGTTCATGTCTTCTAGATGCTGAACTGTACAATACACACGAAATTGAAGTTAAACTATCATATTCAGCCCACTTCACTAATTCAATAGGCTAAAGTTTAGTTATATAGAACGACATAAGGTTGGAACAAAGGTATAAAAATCACTTTTTTCTATAGAAAGGGAACTGTGAACTTAGAGCTGCCCCTTGTACTCTTTAAGTTTTACATAGATCTAAAACAGTATGACTGCTTAATTTTGCACAACAGACACAAGCATGAGCTAATAGAAGGGAATTTTATATATATGTTGGTTATTAAGGAAAACAAAGAGTATAGCAGATATATACATATACACATATATCAACACTGGTTATACTTAACTAAGAGACCTAGCTACAATAAACAAGCTATCCATTGTCCCTAGGATTACTAGCTAAACTAGGGGCTGCAGTCGAAGCGGAAGTGGATGATCTACGACATGCTCCAATACTCACTTTTCTAGCTGAAGGTGGAGGTATTTGAGTCTAAGCTGATGAACGAAAGAGAAGTTTGAAATAATCAACTTAAGAGAGTAGGTTAAGACTAACAAGCACTGAATAACAAATTAAATCTCAAATCTATTATTTAAAACAAATCAAGAAGTGATGGCCAAGTTGATTTTTCAAAGAGAATTGTAGCTGTGTTGTGGCGCAAATTGATTATTTTACATGACCATACAACAACCTAGTAGTAGTTAGCATGGACAATGACTAGAAGGAAGAATTACACGCAACTAGAAAGAAAAATCTTAGTAGTTACAACTATTTTGGAAGAGTTATTTGCGTATGTTTCAAATTACTTTCAAGTTGTTTAGGTACAAATATCAGTCCATAGAGTAGCCAATGTATTATCACATTTAATAGAACACAAAGAGCTGAAGCTTATTAGTAGAAATAGAGACAAACTCCGTATAAAACTGAAGCTTATTAAGTTATGCCACTGCCTTTTCTTGGGCGAAAATCACTAAAATACAACCAGTTAACGAAACTATTCATATACATGCTTCTATCCTGAATTTAAATAGAAAAAATTTCTTAACCCGCAAAGTCTAACAGAGGAAAATTTACTGTGCATCATGGAAGTATTCATATTGAACATTTTTAAGTTCAATTTATCAATACAAGAGCATGAATTAAGCACATAAAGCATTAAAACCCTCTGAAACTATGTAAAATTAGAACGTTGTGAAACTTGACCACAATTATAGAGAAAACATATCAAAGTATTCAGTTAACCTAAAAAGTCCAACTGGTTCATCGCAAGGCAATCGGTAAATCGTCAACAATGATTAGGCAGATAAAACAAAAAAAAAAAAAAGATTAAGAGAAAAAGAAACCTAAATGAAATCATACTGCTAAACTTGGAATTGGGCGAAAATAGGTAAAATAACATAAACTAACCTTGAAGAGAAGCGAACTCCAAAAATTTGTTGTTATCTAATCAGTAGAAACGATTAGGCCAGTAAACAGCAGGATCTCCTTTTAAATTTGTAGTATATACAAAACTAGTCTTCCACATTTATGAAAAATTGTGATTTTTACAAAAAGTTACGAATTTTATGATAGTTGTGACTTTTATGAAAAATTGAGACTTTTATAATAAAGTTGCGATTTTTATGAAAAGTTGTGACTTTTATGAAATGTTGTGATCTTTCCGAAGGGTTATAGCTATTCCAAAGAGTTATGACATCTCTGATAAGTCACAATAAACATTTGTTCACACTACCCTTTGTTGACTATAAATAGAGGAATTTTCTCTCATTTTAAAACAACGAAAATTCTGCACTTCTTCTTCGTCTTTTGCACAATTAAATATTCGTTTACTTTGCTCATGTTGAGTGACTTATTGACACCATTGTTTTTGTATCAATAAGTTAGTGAATAAAATCGTTCCATCATGAGAGAATCTAATTCTTTAAACCTTAGGTATTAGAGGGGAATAATTTTCTTTAGGAGACATTGTGCATTCAGTGGACTCGATTTTTTTCCTTTCTATTTCATTCTATTTTACATATTCTGGTATTATTTTTTTTACAATCATTAATTTATGCTTGTGATATTAATTGTTGTTTTTGAGTATATGTTTTAAACTCTTTTGTTTATATTTCTGCAAAATTATTGTCTCCAGCTATATTGAACATCTACACATATAGTTGGTATATTCATTGTGCAAAAAATAATTATTGTACTTAGTTCCAAGAATTCATGTTTTAATATTCTATATAAAGTAACTTAAAAGTATTATATATAAGCTTACATATTATCTATTTTTACATAGATATGAAGTTTCTCACTTACTAATTGAAGAAAATTCATTATGCAAGTTCAAAAGTTATAATTGCTTTCACGTTCAAGCGTTAATTTCTTTTTTGAATTTGTTAACAAAATATTTGAATTTTATCCTGAGACATATATCACAATTGTATAATCTATGTAACGCAAATGTGTTCTTTTTCTTACGAAATGCCTTTGTATAAATATTCTTATTTTCTTCTTTATTTTCCTTTTAATGTTGATTAAAGAACCAATGATTTATTATTTCCTAAATAATTCATTTATGAGTTATGTGATAATGACAAATAATCAAATTCATGCTGGAATATTGCTAATATTTTTTAAGAACTTATTTTTTCCATTATTTTAATGTATGGATATTAGTAAAAAATTATTTACAAGTTCAACGTAATTATTATTTATGACCGCGCGAAGCGCGGACAAATTACCTAATATATATATATGAAGGAGGAACATAGAGAAGGTGATGTGTCACTTCTCTATGGCCTCACTTCATATTAATCTTTTTTCTTCAAATTTTAAATGGCTAAATAATTTGATTAGTGTTTTATTCTTTATCTATAATGGCTGTAATTAAATTAAATTATATTAAATTGATAGTAAAACATTCAACCCTTCCTCTCCCCCACGTCTAAGATCATGACTATTTCATTAAATCTTCTTATACAAATTCTTCAACTTTTCATCTTCTCTTTTAATTATTATTTATACTCATTTATGAGATATGACATTAATCGTTTTTTCTATCTTAAAATCAATTGCAGAGGTGAATTTATTGTCTCCTTTCATAATTCCTATAAATCTCTAACTGTTATAAAATAATATATTGTGGATGTCCACTACATCAAGAAGTTACTCCATACTTTTCTCCATTATGAAGATAACCATAACCTCCATAACCTCCACCTTTATAACCATTATTCTTGTAACCTTTCACTTCCATAACCTCCCCATTATATTCATGTTAATGTCATGTTTATGACTAACCTTTTGTATGCCTCTATGTTACACTATAAATAGAGGCATAAGGGTTCATATTGTAGAGACTTGAAGACTTGGAATAATAAGAAAAGCTCTCATCTCTTGTCTCCCTATTTCTATTGCTTTTATCTTCTATATTTCTTATCTTATTTTGCTTTAGTTTTACAATACGTTATCAGCACGAATGTTCTACCACTTGCAGGATTGAAGCAAAGTAAACAAAAGAAGGTAAAATAATTGTGTTGATTTTTCTCTCAAGAACAAGGTAAATTATTGTGGAATCTATTTTATACTTTACTTGTGAACAAGGTGAATGATTAATATTATTGTTACTGTGCATTTTTTTCACCTATGACTATATATACTTTCTTTTGTATGTGAAACTTATTTTATATTTTATTTATGATTATGCT